TGCTGCTTTGGCCGGCCACGTCCTCCAGTGTTGACAGCAGCGCGTCACTCTTCTACTACCCCACCTCACTGTCCCCACCCAGGTCCTCAGAGGGCTCACCGCCACAGAGCAGCAGATGAAAAGCACACATGTAATTTATCGCCAACGTTTCCTCCTCAAGAATAATTGTGGCGACCGCGGCTGGTAGCAGGGATCGATGGCTATGGATTTTTCTGTGGTGGGGTCTTGTAGCGTTGGGCGTAATGAGAGATGGAAAGGAGGGAGGAGAGGAGAGGAGAGGAGGGGAGGAGAGGAGGAGGGGCTGGTGCTGTTTTTCTGATAGGGAGAAAAGGTCTGACCAGATCCTTAGTAACTATTCTAAAGTTTAGAGACACAGGAATAAAGAAGACTTTTTGTTTGTTTGTGCATGAAAAGGTCCTGAAACCTTTTCTCTACTTGAGCAACGGTCCTGCATGAGCGCAAAATTATCTCCCAAAGTTTGGGCAAACAGTTTTGGACTCTTGGCACCTGACATTATCTGGTATTTATGTTTTTGTCTGTGCTCTTTTCTCTGGTTCGTAGTGGGCAGGGCTCAGCCATGAAAAGCTGATGTGTGCCAATCAGGATTTGGCTGTATTTAGATCAAAATTAATGACAATTGTCAGTTTTTTACTATTAAACTTAATAAATAATACATAAGGGTGTTTTTTTCTAACTTTAACTTTGATTCTTGCTTGTTTTAGTCATGAATATTAAATGAAATACTTAAAGGGGACAGTCCTTCCCAAAATCAAAAATACATATTTGTTCCCTCACCTGTTGTGCTTTTTCACAGTCTTGATTGTTTAGGTGTGAGTTGCCGAGCGTTGAAGATATTGGTTATGGAGATGTCCGGCCTCTCTTGAATATATCGGAACTAGATGGCACTTGTTTGTGGTGCTCAAGGCGGCGAAACAAAAATACATTTGAAAAACTCTCTTTGAAAAACAGAAATCATTACCTGGATACTCAAGATAATCCACAGACCTTGTTGTGAGCAGTTTTACGTAGGAACCATTTTCTTTCTACTGAGCTACACCCATCAACAGTATCACTGTACAAAAGGAAGTGTGCACCTACTCATGGACGAGAAGCTTGTTCTCGTTACAGTGTGAGATGTAAAAATAATGGCATCCTCCTTGGCAGCGCTGTAACTTTAGCTAGTTCAGGTGACCAAGCGCTGGGGAACTCACACCAAAACAGTCTAGATTGATAAATACCACAGGTAAGAGAAAAAAAATATGAATTTTGTTGTGAACTGTCCCTTTAAGATTTTAAACCAAGTTTTGGGGTGTTTGAGAGATCAATGATTTTCTTCTATTTTCTCCTCATCGTCTGTGCTTAGTGCTCACTGCTGCAGTGCTGCTTTTCAGAGATCACTCGTCAGTCACCGGTGTGTCTTTGTCCTTCCTTTTCTGCTGATGAAGTTTATTCAACCAAGTTTTTTTCTATTCAATAAACACAAAATACTCTCTGTAGATGATTTCCACATTCAGTGATATTTTACTCCAGGAACATCACACGTCAGGTTTTCAGAACCGCAAATGTCAAGGGTGATTTCATGCGACCATGGAAAGTAGCAGAATGGACATTTATTTATATGAAAACATTGTTCCTTTAACGGCCATTCACACCGGGATTGAAAAGTGAACCTGTATGAATTGGCTAACGAATGCACCTTTTTAAGGCTGTTTTTCTCCCCTCTAAGTGGCACTGCATTAAAACTCTTCTCACAGTCGAGTGGCTTTAAATGGGTGTAATAGAGGAAACTTGAGGCTGCTTTGTCTCTGCGGACCCAGTGAAAGCTGCTATCTGTGCAGAAGAGGAGCAGAGCACCGCTGAGGCCCAGCTGGAAGAGTCACCCAAATGTGTTACCAGTGTGTGGCGAGAGCTGGAGTTCAACATCAGCATTTAGATGAATATTTAAGTGGTGGGGATCTCTGCAGCACATAAATGTACACGTGTGTCTGTATGTTTGAATGTGTGCTACCTACCGTGTTTCCATGTATGTGCTGGCGTGTGGAAATGTGTAACAAGCACACCACATGCAGTTTGATGTGTGTCTGTACATGGGAATAACTGCATCTCGGTATGTGTGTGCACGCATTTGCATGCACATCTGTGTCCATTCTATAAATGTGTTTATATGCGCACGTGCACGTGTTTCCCTGACTGAGTCTTATCACAAACGTTGCTGTGTGTGTGTGCAGGAGTGTGTGACTGCCTGCATGCAGCCGCAGAGAGAATGAGAGAGGGAGAGAGAGAGACCATCATGCTGTTAATGACAGAGCCAGATGCAGGGAAGAGAGGAGGAGTGTAAAAAAGCTCTCCACGCTCCCCATCTGGAAGGCATCGCCCCCAAATGAAGTTGTACAAAACCATCCCATTGATAATAAAGCTAATTTTTATGGCTCTGACAAGTATGTAATTATGTTCAGCGGTGCTTTTCAGATTTTATCACAGTCAATAAACCACACTGGCAATTTCCCGTCCCCCATTTGACATATTTACACGGATCCATCTGATTGGAGGAATTAGTTAGCTGTGAGAGCTCTGATGGATATACACTAGTGATCTGTGACTTCTGCTCGGCTCATCTGTTAGCCAACTAGACCCGCTGCTCATCTGTTCAGTCTGTCTTTTCTTTTCTCGCTTTCTGCCTCTCTCCTCCTTCACACATTTCTCCCAATCCATTAATACAATATTTTCCTCTTCTTTGTCTTTGTGAGAGCTCTCACTTCCTTGCTCAGTGGCACCTCAGCAGCAGTTCTGAGTGAAGGCGCTCATTCCCTCCTCCACCAGACTTTCCCACTCAAAGGATTCAAGGATTTCATAAATCCACTCCAATAACCTTCACTTGTTACCACCCATTGATATTTGAGCTTGTAATTTTACTGTTTAATTGTATTTGTTTTTGTTTAATGTCGACGCAACTTTGAAATTAAAAACTATTGGTGACAGATTAATTATACCGAGCCATATTTAGTCGAGGCAGACAGAGGACAAACAACTGAAATAAGACAAATGTCATGAATCGGGGAGCTTTGCATGTGAAATGAAACCAGCAGTAGTAGCAGTTTATTTTATTGTTGATGGCATTACTTGTATTTCAGTGTCATAATAAGCTTGATCCAAATGCACACCAACACATACCCACATGTAACAGACTCCATGCACATTAAAAAACATAAACATTTTGTCTTTTAATTTAATTTAGTTTGTTAAGCTCAATCAGAATCAATGTCCCTAAATATTAAAGGTTTGGTGTCTTTTTATAGTTTCAGCATCTGGAAATATCCTGTTTATGTTTCCTGTCATTATCCTCCTGTATGTGGCAGAAAGGTGGGATTAGTTTAGTTTATTGCAACATGGGTCTTATTTTATACATGTGTCAGTCATTTCTATCAGTTTTCAAAACATTGTACTCACCAAAGTAAGTTTTGAGATCTGGGGGCGGGGCAGTTTTTGGGCACTATCACTTAAGCAGAGTCCCATGGGGCAAGTTACACAAGTGATCAGATGACCAGACAGGTTGTAAATAAGACAACAGTTCAACAAGATTATGTGGAGAAAACTTAAAATAATAAAAGATAAAAAAAAAATCAAGAGTGCAACCAATTTTTTAAAAATGTATCTATTTATTTATCTATTTATTTTATGTGCACACAACTATGTCACTTATGTAAGGCAAACAGTGATCCTGGTCAAGTGGAAAACCTCCGGGTCTGAAAAATGAAGTCAACGCCAAAGTGCCAAAAAGCGCAGTTCCTCAAATGGCCACTTGAGGCTGGCTCCAAAAGCCAGTCAATCCCTATTGATCCTCATGTTAAAATTCCCAACTTAACAGCAGAAAGAGGCATGTTTACAGACTGGTACGAGAAATGGTTTTGGTCTCTATAGATAATTTCTCCTTTCAGGAAAAGGGGTCCATGTCATTGGTCCGGCAGCCCATTGGTCCGACATCCCATTAGTCCGACGGTCCGCGGTGCTGAACGGCTCCAAGCGGGCGTATTTCTGCCTTGATGGTGCGCCGCGACTGGCTCTGGGTCAGCTGGGAAAGGCTAGAGGCGAAGCAGGCTCACGGCTTATGTGTTTGCCACTTAGTTTTTCATTTTAACCCACACCATGATCTTTTCCTGACCCTAACCAAGTGATTTTTGTGCCTAAACCTAACCAGACCTTAACCACAGGGCATCATGATGATTTCGGAATGGACTTCGGAACAATGAGTTTAATATGGTCGGAACAATGGGATGTCGAACCAATGGGCTGTCGGACCAATGGGCAGTTCCCCAGGACAAGTGCGTGAGGGTGAATTTTTATATAATTCACCCATTTACATTTTATTAAGGCTCAAAGTTGCACATAATTATGGGCAGGGCCACTTTGAGTGACAGGGTGTCTGCGACTAGTGTCCTCAGGCTCTCAGTCAAATCACCTCTGGTTCCAAAATTCCAAGATGATGACGGCCAAAATGGCAAACTATAGAGGCTTCAGATTTGGAGTGTACAAACCAATGGGGGTCGTCATGTTGGCTACGTCCATTGTTTTTATATAGTCCATGGTCAAACTGTGATGAATGTGTTTACAATGGACATTTTGGATAAGTTTACAGTTTCCACTTGTCTCTTGCAAGTAAATGTGGTTTACCTTGGGGTTCTTTCAAAACCTGTATGATTCTTTGATGATTTTCTTACTTAAAAGATTAGAGTTCTAGTAACCTGGAATTATACTTTAAAGAATTATATCTTGATCTCTTGAAGGAGATTTGGAATTGAATGAGTGCATAAATAAATATTTAATAACATAATATAAATGAGACAAAACAAAATCTTTCCCTCCCAGGGTCTTGCTACATCTCCCTTTATTCTGTTATTTTTAATGTAATTTTTCGGCAGTTTTTTTATGATTTTTTTCTCCATCCTTAGACGACTGTAATGATTTAACCTTCCTTTTCTTCCTCTCTCATTGTGTCTTTATAGGAGAGAAGTCTTATCTGTGTGACCTGTGTGGTTTTGCTGGGGGCACAAGACACGCCCTCACCAAACATAGACGCCAACACACAGGTAAGTACACACCCCGAACTCATGTCCAAACAGTAACTGTTGTATGTGCAGACCTTCATAATCTAGGACAGTGATTGACACTTCAAGATCCAAACAGCCTCAATATTTTTTTCACATAGTTTTAGCAACTGTTTGCTCTCTCTCTCTCTCACTCACACACACACACACACACACACACACACACACACAGAGGCACATCAGTGTGACATTCTGCTGTCAGTGATAGGCATGTGTACCAGTATGGCTGACTGAATCTGAGATTTTTAATTTCAGTTATCATTTCACCATGTCATTCTGTCGCTTAGGGAAATTGCATTTTTCAGATAGGCTGTCAATAACGAGTGCTTTTTTGGAAATTGGGATAGTGAAACAAATACTGTTCTTAACCGTTGTCTGGCAGGCGCCCAAGGATCAAGAATCCTGTTATAAATATTCATTTAGGTTTTCATAATTCATCTTGTTTGCTCCTCACTTTCTCTGCCATTTCCCCCCGAAACCTCCAATTTCTGTCCTCCTCTCCTGTGTTGACATGTGTCAATTCCACTGATTTAGCTGCATATTCAAATCTGTTGTCATGCAGCTGCACATGAAGGGACTGCCCTGTCTGACAGTGTTTTCTTGTCAGAGTTTGACAGATACAGATTTTTAAAGGCCACTGTTGATGTCAATATTTCTGTGGTTCAAGTTTTCTTAATACAACATTGTGTCATAATTTGGTTTCTTCAAATATTTCCACTTTCATGCCCAAAATTTACAAGGAGTTGGTGGCTAATGTTATTCTTATCAGCACTGAAATGTCACTACAAGAGTCACTTGAATGCCATGTTATTAAACTTGGTAAGTGTTGTGTAGGTTAGCAGCTTCTTAAAGCAGGGTGAGGTTTTATTGCAGGTTTTAAACACTGACATCCTCGAAGGTGTTGAGTCAAACACTTCCTCACTACTCTTGTCTGCCATTTGGACTAAGAAATAACTAAAAATACATCGCTCCCAGAGAGCACAAAACTCTGCCAGTCGACAATGTCCCAACCTGCTGTTACACCCACTGAAATCAGTCCTACTGCTATGATTTTAAGTTAAATTGATACCTTAACCCTGTGAGCATACCTCTACAATTTAGAATCAATTCTCTCTCTGTAAGATCAATGTTCATGTGTCGAAATTGGTAATCATCAGTCATCTAATGATACAGTATAAGTCTCCCATCTGGATTTCAATCAAAATCTTACTCATGATATTTCATAGAGATGCATTCACAAGTTTTAAACATCCTGCTAACAGACCGATAAACTGTCTGAGGTGAAAGCACAACATTTAACAACACTTTGACACTTCAACGAATCTTTACTGACTTTAACTAACGATTTAAAAACTTTGGCTGACACTTAGACTGGTGTCACTTCTTACGTGACAACTGATACTTCAACCATACTGCATCTGGTGCTTCAACCTCACTTTAAATTTCTTCTTATTTCTGCTTACAGTTCAACTGCCTTCATATCTTACTCCGTAAATTGCAGTCCAACTGCTTTCAACTCTTCAGCTGTTAAACTACGTGCAAACGGACAAATAACGTCAATTGCACTTCAGCTGATTTCAATTCTTCAGTGGACACAAACCCTTTAGGTGCCTCAGCAATTACTGACACTTAAAAGACAAGTCCCATACAACATTTCACATACAGAATATTTAGTACTTTATTTTAGTACATTTTAACATTTTTTTGCACCTGCAGTGCTCAGAGTAAGCAAGAACACATAAATGTACTTCAGAAAATGTTGTTATTCAGTAGCTTGAGAACTGTTCATGGTTCTGTTGAATAGTGTTAATTTTGTCAGCTTTTTTAAATAGTTTAAGTCCTGTGTCAAATGTCCTTGTTAAGGACAATGTTTTACTTGCCTAAAGTCTGGGCATTTTAGTCTTATTATAGTCAAATAATAATTATTGTTAGTTTTAGTCAATGAAATCTGTTGACACTTTAGTCTTTTTTAGTCATCAGATCATATTTACATTTCAGTCAAGCCAAACCAGTAATATTGTCATTTTAGTCAAATTTATTTCACACATTTTTTCATCTCATTATTTGATGAAAAACACAAGTTAAATGATTAAGAATGCAGCTTTGAAGTAAGTGTCTCTTCTAGTGGTCTGATAGTATCCATTTAAGGAATACATCCAGACATGGAACATGATCTGATTTGCCTTTTTATTTTGAACCAACAGGATTCAACACCTGGCCTGAGGCCACATACTCTTTAAAACTGTTATGAAACAATGAGAGCTGTACAGACCCAAGTCCTGTTGTTTTCATTGTTAACTTTAACTTTAAGTAAGTAAGTCCTTTCTGTGATCATTGTGTGCTGCTGGAGAAATAAGACCAGACGCACAAACTGTTGCTGTCTGAACAGCCCAATTGTTAACATGGGCACCGAAAGGAAGTGGGCAGCCCTTCTCAACACTTCTTAACTTGTCACCAATACTGCATGTTGATATAGTCCCAGTTGGTGTTTAATGATGTCAGTGCCATCTCGTCATCATCTTGTCTTAGTCATGAAAAAAAAAAGGTTGTCAATGAACATATTTAGTCACAGTTTTCAATGATTAAATTAACACTACTGTCAGCAAAATATACTTTTACTAACTTTGTTTTTGTCATTGATTGGTCTCCAAATAATCCCACATAGCATTATTAACAACTTCAAATTCTAAATTTGGACTGTTGAATCCAGCAAAATGGTGTCACATATCAGCTGAACCATTCCAGTGCAGTCCTTCTACCTGGGTGTGTATATTTATGTGTCTATGTGTGTTTGTCTGTGCGTGACATTTATATCATCTTGGTCTCACCACCATTTTCTGTGTCTTCTCTTTTAAACCTCCCCCACCCCACAGGAGAGAGACCCTTCAAATGTAAGCTCTGCAACTTCGCCTCCACCACGCAGTCCCACCTATCGCGGCACAAACGGGTCCACACTGGGGAGAAACCGTACCGCTGCCCCTGGTGCGACTACAGGTACCGGCTCATTGACCCGCCTATGGTTGGTGGCGCTGATGGCCGCCACCATGGCACTGATGATCAGGGTTGATAGGTGGGAGGTTGGAGGGCCTGCACCGGGTATATAAGTGAGTGAGTGTGATGGTGAGATAGCAGGTGGCATTGTAGGGTAGTTTGGAGAGGTGGAGGGTGGCGTAAATGCTCGAGGCTTTGTGTGTGTGTGTGTGTGTGTGTGTGTGTGTGTGTGTGTGTGTGTGTGTGTGCACGTGTGTGTGTGCAGGGTGGGTGGGAGAGGTGGAGGGCAGACAGGTCTAATCTCCACAGCACGGCTCCATCTCATCACTCTGCCATCATCAACAGGCCCAGCCAGATCTCCCCCAACACACATACACCCGCGCACACTCTCGCTCTCACACACACACAATGTCACTGTCACTGGCAGGTCCCTGTCATTAAAACACCATCATACCACATCAGTAATTACACAGGAAATTGTCGGTGAAATTGAAAAAGTTTTGGCTGGCGTTGCACATCTCCATCTCTCTCTATCTCTCTCTCTCTCTCTCCCTCTCTCTCTCTCCCTCCGTCTCCTCTTGACTCTGTCTCTCCCTCTCTCTCTCTTTCTCTCATCCTGTGCTTCCTCGTCAGGTTGTGGCAGAAGAGTGTGAAAGGGAATGATCTCAAACCCATCATTGGTTTTAGATGTACTCTTCATTCGTTTTTTCCCCTCTGTGACAAAGTCATTTCGGCAGCTTGCTACACCTGCTCCGCTGCAGTGAAGCGCTCCGCTCATTTCATAAGTCTTTTATATGCAGTCCAACTTAGAAAAAATGAAATGCTGAGGTGTAATAATTGCAGTCAGGCTATTATTTTGCAATTATCACAGGTTTATCTCACCTTGTACCTAAAGTTATCATGAAGTATGTCTTGAATGTATCAATTAGGAGTCAACCAGTGTGGGGGATTTTAGCTGATGTTTGATTTCAGACATATGTAAGATGCTTTGAAGATTACTGTGCTGAAATGATTACAAGTGTCATTTAATCGCATAGGAAGATTGTGTCCTTTTTTTTTTTAATATGTGCCGTTTTGAGTTCAACTGCAAGGTTTTTAGGCCAGTGTATGGTTGGTATTTTTATTAGCCACGTTTGCGGCATGCCTCAAGGGGTGATGATGATGCACGGTCTACCACTTTGTTTCAGACTCAAATATCTTTACAACTATTGGAGGAATCCCGCTGATGCTGGTGATCCGTGAACTTACCCTTGTGTCACCATGAGGCTGATAGTTTCGTGTGTTTAAGTGGAATTTTTGGGTGGCTTGCCATGAAATTGTGTACAGGCATTTAAGGTGCCCAGAGGATGAATTCTACTGACTTTTCATAGCACCACCAGCAAAGTCAAGTTTTCACTGCTTGACCACTTGAATGGGCACAAAACGTTGTACAGATATTTGTGTTTTCCAGCTGACTTCAGTGATCCCCTGACTTTTCATCTAGCGCCATCATCATGTCAGTAATCTCAGTTTATGACCAAATACTTGGAAAAGTGTCATTCCCATTAGTCTCAGCTGTACTTTGTGTTTAGTGCTTATTAGAACATGCTAAACTAAGATGGTGAGCACTTTGAGTTTTTTACCTGCTAAACATCAGGATGGTGGCTTCATCATTGTAAGCATGTTAACATGCTGACATTAAAAGCACCATCGTGCCCAACAACATTCTCACAGAGCCGCTAGCATGGCTCTAGGCTCTCAGTCTTGTTAGACTAGACCTGCCAGTAGTCTGTATTAAATTTGCATACTGCAAGAATTTGTTGTTTTGCCTGAATATCATTCGTGCTATGCCAGAAATTTTGTACCTCATGGGACACTAAACCTCAGAACATCAGGGAAAAACAAAGCAAGACTGTATGATGAAAACACACCATCTATCCAAATGTCTCATTAAACATATTACAGCAGGTCAAAGGCTCAAAGTTAAAAAAAAAAAAAGGTAATTATATAAATTGGCTGATTTTTTTTTTTTCCTTGAGGGCAAATTTTGGTCCTATATGAAACCACTGCTGTAGCCTAACCCCAATATCAGAGAGATACTGTACATAGAACATGCCAAATGTTCCTGGCCTCATTGTTCCTGCACTGATACTTAATGATCATTACAGATAGTGGCAAATGAAACAGTAAATTAGAAGCCCAATTAACATTTTGGTGGCCCCAGGGGTTCTGAGAAGTCCAGAGGGCAGTGAAGGGGGGGCAAGGTGGGAGGAGGAGGAGGTTGGGGAAACGCCCCGCTGGCTTACTAATGTGAGGATGAGGAATTGAATGCAGGGGCCTCAGACAGCCACGAGGGCCCTCGCCTCCGCCCTGCTTTTACACACTGAATACATGTTTAAACCCTGACATCTCTGGTGGCCTGACCACGATAAGGAGCTACTAGATGAGTTAGCACGCTTGACCTTTCAATGTAAGCTTATGAAATAGATATGGCACAGTTGTACAGACATATCAAGGTCTGAGGCAAAGCAGTTGTGTGATTGACAGGTCTTGCTCATGGAAAATATACATCTGATTTCCACTTTTAAAATATCCATATTAAATGTTATGGATGACATCCATGGTTCCCACTTGATACAATGTGATCTCCGTCAAGGCTGCTCCTCAAATGCATGTAAATGAGCAGGGAGTGAATGATCTATCAAATGCCACTCATCTCCTATTCAGACAGAGATAGATAATAGAGGGGGATAATTATAGTAGGAGAATAGTGGTAAAAATATTCTAATGATATTGCACTGGGAGTCCTTGGCTGTCAATTAATGATGTCTATTTGACTATTCTCCAGCTTTTTATGCAAACCGCAAAACTTCTTTACTTCAGTGTTTAAGGAATCATTTCTATTGTTCCCAATGAGGAGTTTTTTTTTTTTCTCATTAAAGTCACAGTGGCATCTTAAGCGGTCTAATTGATATGTAGCCTCTGACTCCTGCCATGTTACCATCCTTCTGGGGCTATTATTGTTTATTGAATGCTGCGGCATTCATGTTTCAATCTACCTGTTAAAATAGTCTTTCAATTTGAGGCGATGGCGGCTTTGAGGATGACACGCTTACTGTCAGTGCCAGGAAGGTTTGCGACCTTGTAAAGTGAAGGGAGAGATGAGGGAGGAGGGGGGGAGACATTAATGATGATAACTGAGCCTCCATGGCAGAATAAGATCCAAATAGCCCCAATGATCCAAATACACCCCCTCCCCTCCCAACTCTTAACACACACAAAGAAACACATTTAAATCTCCTCTAACGAAGCGCCTCTCAATTACACCTCTCCCATTACCATACACTCGTTGGGAGGAGGAATATGGAAATGGCTAAAATAAAGGGGCGAGTGAGGGAGAGACAGAAAGAGGCAGAGAAGGGGTGATGTATCCGTTGAGCATCACTATGGCTGAGTCCCATGGTGAGTGCATGGATGGGGGAGGAAGTTGAAACAGTGTTGGGACTAATTAATACAGTGTATAGTAGGAGGGCTGGTGTGGGCTTTCACTAACTGTGACACCTGCTGACTCCTAAATGCACGTTGTGTTGTTTTAATATGACAATTACGCCATTACCATATCTGAGAGATAGCATGGCCCCCCTAGGAATCCACCCGCGCTCTCTTTAGAACCTTTTAGCTCCGCTTCAAATTTTATCTATTTATGCTCCCACTTTTCGAATAAGAAATCAGTTCACTTTTAGTAAAAAATGCATTTTTTAGCAGCATGATTTGCGGTAATTCGTGAGCATGTGACAGTTTTAAGTTCTTGCGTCTGTCTGTTTTTTCATTAAGCAGAAGAACAGTCAACAGATGTGGCCATGATTTGTGTGTGAACTTGCTAGTGAAGGCTGATGAAGGCACGACAGCAGTGGGTGACAATCTACTGGATAAATGATAGAGAATATGTGTGAATATTAAGAGTCATGTGAATCTCACTTGTTTGGATACTTAAAATTCTTAAAGCTCTTCACATTCGTTACACATGACATAAACCTACAAGGCCTTAAATGTATTGTTTTCATATCAGGTCATAGTTAAGGTTCATCATCTGCAGCTCCTTTTTTTTTTTTTTTTTGAAATTCTGGACTCTGAGCCTTGTTTGATTGTGCTACATGTCACCTGTGAATCAGGTGTGGCCAGTATTGCCAGTCTCTTTCATTGTGGGTCTTTTTGGAGGATCAAAGCTGGACCCCTTTTATTTGTCTGTTTGTTCCCTGTGTCAGTCAGCGCTCATGCTAACTACCTGGTTTTAATTTTGCTTAGCTTTGAACAAACCAGAAAGCCAAATCCAACACTTGTGGGAGCCAGGAATGACTTCTGTGACACAAAGAAAATGGAAAGGTGTTCATGAAGTGGATATATTTTTGAATCAATCATCAGTGATCTGGTAAGACAGACATATTGATGTGGATTAAAACACTTTTTGTTGTTGTTGAGAGCGTGGCACCCCAACTGACTATAGCGTTCAGTTTTGTGAGGAGCCATCATAGTTCACCAGTGGCTACAGCTTATGTGTTTCATACAGCATGAACAGAACCTAGTGAGGGCCCGCTCTTTTTTTTTTTTTTTTTTTTAAGGCCCCAGTGGAGCCGGGCTGGACTGTGGCCCCATGATGGAGAGAGGTGTCTCTGCAAAAGTGAAAACAAATTCTCTCCTTGGCTGGCGTGAGCTATGGCACTGTGAGGCTTTATTGTCCCGGCCAAGGTGATAAGGGAGAGTAATTGCGTATTATACTGTCCGAGAATGTCAGGTCCAAACTGAGCACGAGTGCCCCATCCATCAACACATGATGGTGTGTGTTTATGTGTGTGTATGAAACTGTGTTCTACACTGCACATGCTTGCTTGCATGATGCATTATGTGTGTGCTCTCTTGTACGTGTGTGTGTATGTGTGTGTGTGTGTGTGCGCAGGTGGGGGGGTACGGTGTTTACGGATTCATGTCTGAATATTTGCACTTGTGTGGTCATATTAGAGATTAATAATTTTTATTTTGGTGCAAACTAAGGTCTGTTCATGTCTGTGTAAGTATATATGTATGTGCATGTTTGTTTTGTCCATTCAGGGTTTCAGTAACACATGTGTGTGTTTGTGTTGGTGTGTCCATGGGCAGGTTTAGATAGAGCCTGGGAGCAGGTCAGGCAGCATCATTAATCAGCGGAGGGTTGTGTGTGACTCTCTGAGCTGACATCATTACATCCTACACCCTGCAGTAGCTCACTGCTTGGCCTGCCCTATCTGACCAGTCCGAAGACCCGCAAATTCTCGCACGCCGCGCGCACACAACATACACCACCACTTCTTTACCTTTCATAGAATTGCAAAAGATACATAATGCGTAACAGATGTCTTCAGACATATCTCTAACGCACTCAGTGGGCCTCTAGATCCATGTGCAGTCTCACAGGATGCATCACCCACTGCTCCCACCACCACCATTACACACTAAACCTGAGCAACTGCAAGGCAAGAAAATAAGAGATATGAAAGAGCATGACGGAATATCAAAGAAATTGCAGGATGTAAATATTGTTTGTGTAACAACTTGGGTTTAGTTGTTTGTGAAAGCGATCTTTAGTCACTTGCTGGTTGTGGGCTTGTTTCACAGAGGCGTATTTAGGCAATGAATGCTTTGAGAGTCTGTCCAAACACGGCTGCTCCCTCAGCTCCAAAGCCCTGTTTGAGTTTTTTCTAGTGTGTGTGTGTGTGTGTGTGTGTGTGTGTGCGAGCGCATGTGCGTGTGTGTGTCATCATTGCAACAAAATAAAATGTTAGTACAGCAAACCTTTTTTCGGGAAAGTTGCCAAGCGTTTATCTTGTGTTTTCTCCCTCATGACTCTCATCTTTTAATCTTTTTTTTTTTTTTTTTTCATCTATTCCAAAAAGGAATGAGGCCTTTTATCTTCGTTTGTCTCCCTTAGATCCAACTGTGCTGAGAACATCCGGAAGCACATTCTCCATACGGGCAAACATGAGGGCGTGAAGATGTACAACTGTCCCAAATGCAACTCTGCCACCAACTCTCCCATGGAGTTCCGCAACCACCTGAAGGAAAATCACCCTGATATTGAGAATCCAGACCTCGCCTACCTACATGCAGGTAACTAACTGTTCAAATTGTACTTAGGGGGCTACTGTACGTCTTTGCCTATTTTCAACATCCACAACATTCCATACGATTCATATTCAGTGTCACAGTTCCACATCTGCCCACTACCACCTTTTTTGTCCTATTGACTGCTGAGTAGCTCCTGAATTAGCTAAAAGTTAAAGGGACACCACCAACTTTTCACATGGAGATCAGTTTACTAGTCATAAAAGATTCTGCTTATAAAAACAGTTGTAAAATGGAAGGCAGTGGCTCAGTCTGTGGGGACTTGGCTTGGGACCCGTTGGTGGCCAGTTCATGTCCAGCATGGACCAATCAGTAACAGAGTTGGACTAGTAGCTGGGGAGGTGCCAGTTCACCTCCAGGGTATTGTTGAAGTGCCCTTGAACAAGGCCTGTGTGTCTGTGTAAAAAATAACAGTGGAGTGAAAAATTGAATTTCCCTGAAAGGTGATAAAATAATTATTTTTGTGTATCTCTAGAGGAGATTTCTAGTTTGAGAAAATAATCCAGGTGATGTCATATTGATGTCATCTTGGTTATCTCAATTCAGGTCAGGAGGTGTGGAGTTTCAAAGAACAGTTGGAGAAAGTCTAACAAAGGCTGCAACTGAGTTGTATCATGGGAAGTGCAGGATTAACTGTTTCTGGAGCTTTACCCAAGCTATGGACTAAGAGTCAGTAGATCTGTTTCTGTATCTCTTGCTGTTGCTGCTTTTGATTATTGACTCATTATTTTTAAATCTCTCTCTTTGCATCCACCCAACTATATGAAAATGCCATAGTAAATCTCTGGACTTCCCTTTTAACTGCCTTGTCGAGGGAACCTAACCAACACATTATGTTCTTCATCTACAATTGCTCCGCTATTTCCAGCATTTGAACCACACCACTTTCCATTTTCCTCTCTAAAGTTTTCTCAAGTCTCCCCTTTAATCTTTCTCTCTAATCTGCGTTCCAATGTGTAACATGCACACAAACATTTATACACATACAGTGTATACCCACAAACAAATAAACAATTGAATTCATTCCACTGAATTAAACCACCTGGCTGCCCCTACAACTCAGCAGAGGTCAGATCTTCTTGAATCATTGAGTGTGTTTTTGTCAATGGATCGAGTCTCGCTATTCAGTGCTGATGGAGGGCACCCAGCCACAAAGAGGCAGCACTCAAAGACTGCTGGTCTAGCCATCCCTGCCAATCACTCAGGCCATAGAGACAGATGAAATCTTGTTCCTCTGCTATTGGATCCTTTGTATCCCAGTGTTCTTCCTTTGTCCTTGAAGGCCACCAAATCCAATCGACAGAGTGCTTGTCCTTCAGAGGAGCAGAGAGGACAGCCTTTATCCTGTTATCCCTTTGACCTTACATAAAAGCAGTAGAGTTGGAGGGGAGCACCATGGGAAAGAGGCCAGGCAGGGACATTACTCGACGATGGCTGCAATCTGGTGGTACTGTTGTTTATTTCTTGTTGAACCCGAATGTATCTGGAGTTTTATCTTCTTGCTGACCCTTAAAAGTTTATTTTAAGGCCTATTGGTGGTATAATTTCTGTTCTTCAAATTCAATGACCAACTTATATCTTTGAACTCCTTTACTCCCATGTCCTAACCTCTCTGCACAACCTTTTTACCTTCAAGTACTGTTAAAAACACCTCCCTTCTTCATGTTCTCCATACCCTTTCACCTTTAACCAAAGCACACCTTTTACGCGTCTTTTACCCTTTTACCCCAGAATTTCCCTCACCTCTGTTTGTCCTTATGCATGGCCTGGCCTTTGGTGAAGCTTTTGTTTCTTTGCGTCCCCCTTAGTGTGACCTGTTAAGCCATATAAGAACACAACAGTTAGAGCAAATCTCTGTATGTGTCCAGGCCAGTCTTGTGGCTTCATCTTAAAGGTGTCTATGATCTTACTGTGATTCCACCAGCTACAGCAAGCAGTGCACATCATGGGTTTCAGTTTTCAGTGTTTTGAATGAAGGTCAGATCTTGTCTGGAACGCGCGTAGTCTTTCAGTCATCTGGAGGAAACATATCCTCCTCTTTCAGTCGAGTTAAGCAGCATGTTTTCAAGATGTCATCATGACATCCTAATTCATATTCTGGTCACACCACACCACAGATATGAACCCAAAGAATGACAGCAAAAGAAATCATCCAAAAATGCAGCTGATGGTGTTTCTTACTCCACAATTACTGCTCCCACTTTGCTTTCGTTGATGCATTACAGTTTGCTCCAAATTTTACTTGTAGCAACACGTAAATAAATTATTTTGCAGGACTGAAGAAAATCAACAACTCTTTACCTGATTAAGACCCAAGCAACCAAGCAATCAAACTATAGGTGGTTTGAAAAGGCATTGGAAGTACACTTGTGATCTCTCCCTCTTTCATAAGAGAGAAAAGAGAGGTGGGGGTGGTAGCGGAAAGAGCAGTGTTTCATCTAAGTAGACAGAACGAGACCAAAAGAAAGAGACAGGGGAAAAAAAGATTAAGAAGGTAGATGTTGAATTAACCTGCTTGTGATTGCTCTCTGTCAGAGTGGCACCAGGGCCAGCAGCGAGAGGCAAATCATCTGTGATGGCCCTTCCCGCTGTTCCCCCTTTGAAAGACACAGATCAAACGCACCCTAGTCACGGGCCCTTGCAGCCCCTCGCGCCAGATTGATTGACACCCGAACGTCTCCACTGCTGCTCTGTCTTTCCATATCACTCTCTCTCGCTCTCCGTCTTCCCTTCTTTATTCAGCGTCGCACTTCGAATTAAAGCCCTTCTCAAGGATGAAAGCAGAGGTCCTTTTCAAACGAAGGAAGAGAGGGAATTAGACCCAGCAAGTGATGGAGGGGAATGATGATTAGAATTAGAGGGGAAAAAAAGAATGAAAAAAGAGGTTAGATATGTGAGGGGAAAATGTTGCTGATAGGACACATTTTAATAAAATGGTAATGACAATTGTCTTCCTTGTGCGATCTGCAGAGAGATATGCCAGAAAGAAGTGGCGGCGCCTGTGTGATCTCGGCATAGATAGCACTGCAGCAGAACTCGAGCTACAGGTACCTCAGAGCGCCGCGACTTTGCTAAATTACCCCTCTGCTAGAACTTTCTTTCTAGTTAAAATGCTGCAAGTACACTGTGACTGGAGCAGCTTTGGGAAATGGTATATTTCCTTCTTTCTTTGCTATCTCCCTCCAGCGAGGTCAGCTGTGGTTGCAGGGCAATGGCTTTGTTAAATCAGCCTCCTGTCCTGTTCAGTACCAAAAAATATATTACACACACACACACACACACTCAGACACCACACACACACACAGGTGAGATGTCGCCATTAGCTTTGTCAGAGCATCTTCATCCCACTGTTTTAAATTGTGAAATATTTCCCTAATTTCCAACCAAGGTTATAATTGCACGTCTTAGGGGCATAGCGATCAAATGCTTTGTAATTAGCTAACAGCGACTGAGTACTTGGATCTGCTGCTTAGTGCCTAAGCAGATAAAACAAATAAATAAATAAACTTCTTCAAGGCATTGTTGCTGCTTTATGCAGATTCTATTTTCCTTAATAATGCATGATGGATGGCTACTGTAGAGGGCTAGAGGAGACCTGGCCTTGTAAGTGATGATCTTAATACACAGTTACAACCACAGGCAAATTCATTTGTTTGCATATATTTTTTCCTTATTAAACAAATCTGTAAACAAATATGGGTTTGGATGGCTTTTACTTAAGTTATGCATCTGTGTGCCTCGCCGGCTCCCCTCCCTCGCTTTCACCTTCTGTTCGTCATGTAATGAAACATTACTCTCCTGAGTTTTACTTGCGTATTGTGTTATAGCGGCGTGTTGAATTGTGGAGGACAGGTGTGTATGTCATGCAAATGTGTCCTGGTATCCCAGCGCATATGACACTGTGTCGACGTTGTGAGAGAAGCCTCAGACACCGACGATAAAATCAACATCTGTTTCTAATAACAATGTGTTATATGTGACACGTTTCTGTGTTGGAAAATATGTGTAAAAAAAAAACAATGCATCACAGATCTTTGAAAAAACACCTATAGGACATCAAGTCGTCAGCGTTAGTGATGAACCTGCGTCTTTGTGTCACCGTCCTTCTGTTGCGTTCACATGATGGGCATTAATGAAAAAAGTCATTCTGTTCAGTGCGATGTAAAGTCAGATTAACAGGGTGGCTCATTGTGCTGATGCTGTCACGCCGTAGATTTAGTTATTTTGAGTTGTATCTTACAAAATCAACAATGAAGCATTTATTGGCTTGAGGGGAAGCCAAAAAATGTATGATACTTTCACCAGCGAAGAAAAGAGCAAACTTTGACGGAATTGAGCTCAGCTGTTTTAGTTTAGGTTAAAATGATCAAAGCAATCCCACATAGAAAACACATCATATGCAGTTTTCTAAATGTTTCTCAAGTCCCAGTGAATATGGCCTTTAACGTAATAAATGTGGTCTTTTGTAGTCACAGTATGTCTTCATTTTGGTTTGTACAACACTCACTATTTTTGTGCTTGTGTTTGTTATTCTTCTTCCATCATATCTAATTTCCCCGACCACACAAAGCAACCTCAACACGCCTGCATGTTTAAACTTGAAGATTAGCTCAAGCCAGTGTTGGGGTGTTAATTGGAGGATTCCCTCAAGGAGGAACACCTTTCAGCTTCATCTGGTCCTGAATGGCTCATTGTCACCCCTTTTTACCAAATTAGCTCTGGTTCTTGAACTGGTTCCATTCAGGATTCTTGGAACTCTGGTGCTATCTAGCAACCAGCCCACGCGTGCTTTTCTTCTGTTATTACATATATTTGTTTTTTTATCCAAGAAACGAACATGGACCAACTATTAATAAGACAACTGCACGCTCCTTTTTCCAACAATTTCTCACTTGATTTCTCCATCGTTGCCTTCTTCACCCTCTCTTTCTAACCTGTAAAATATGACATGTCAACCGATGTTGTCACGGTTCGCACTTCAGGTT